GAAGAAACCTTAGCAACAAATAGGACTTGACTTAAAAGACTGCGATGTAGATTAAGGTAAAAAAAAAGAAACTCACCCACTGACTTTATTTTTAATGACTTAATCATGCTTGACTAAATCTGTTTTGTGTATGAAAATGTAAAATATAAAGTTTATTGTGAATTTCTGGAAACAGTTCATGAAACTGAAAAATGCAAAACAACATACCATTTGGTTGAATGGAAGGCAGTTAGTGTAGCGGTCATGATCGGTGTATGTAAAAATTCTGTGATTTCTTCTGCCCTTTGACCTCTTCAGGGCCTTGACCTCTGTGTGGTACTGACGGTCCAGAGGGGTCTGACATGCTGCCTCATTCTGGAAAAGTTCCATCTCATACTGGGCGCACATACAGAGACAAAGAGAGGATGGTGAGGTGTCAGGCTTCTTCAATAGGAGACAAAGGTAAAAAATCAAAATGTGTGCACTTCTAAGCTAAATGAAATCTATCCCCCCCCCCCCCCCCCAACACACACCAACACACACCAACACACACCAACACACACCTCTCACCCAATGCAGACTCTCAGCTGTGAACTTTGATGTTTGTTACTTCCTTCCATTCACCATGCACCTTAACTGCCTCTGCTTTATCTGGTCTCATGCACTACATCACTTTATTCTATTCTTTCTATTTCAGTATTCATCCAGTTCTGGTTACTTTATTCCTGTTGTTTCTTATCCATCATTGCACTACGGTCACTTTATTTATCTCATTTTTACCTTTACAGTTATATTGTATATATTAGTTCTGTTGTTCCGTTATTCACCATGCACCTTAATAACTTATCATTTAGTATTTAGCCTACTTGCACATAGCTCTGTATAGATATGTTTATTTCTCGTTTACTGCACATAGTTCTGTTTACATCTGTTTACATCTGTTAGTCCGATCACTGTCCACTTATATCTACTCTTTTATATTTTGTATTTTTAAGTTAAGTTTAAGCTTTAAGTTGTATTTATATTGACACTTTATATTTAGGTTAAAATGTTTCGTACTTGCACTGTTGTTAATTTACCGCTCTGTGTGCCTTTGAATTGCCCCCCGGGGACATTTTTTTGAATTGAATTGAATTGAATCAGGTTCTACCTGACTGAAGAGTTTCTCCTGCCAGCCCACCTCCAGCTCCTCTTCATTATCACCTAGAGACAGAGAAACAAAGTTACTAAAATGTGATTTGAAGGAAACATCCACCCTAAAACATGCATACATGTTGTACTGAAGTTAGACACTACGTCCATTCCTGTAACAGTGTTGGTTTGCAACGATATAAGTACTTTCTGGGGACAGCAAATAAACAAAAACAACACAAAATAACTCCAATATACCACAAAGAGACAATCAGTCAGACAGACAGTCAAGATACATAATATTTTATATACTAAGTACTTCTTGTTACCTGCCAGCTCAATAGCTCATCTGCAAACAAAACTCAGTATGTTCTGACAAGTTTGAAAGTCGAGAAATGAAATGTAGAAATTACAATTGACTGAATTGAATTTATTTATTTTAATAGGGACAATGCAATTTAACATAATTTCAATACAAAGCATGAAACTGATGTGCTGCATAAAGAGGATATAGATATTGTTAATTTCCCACTCGTGTCCCCAGTTGGGCCTTTGTGTAAACAAACAGATTAAAATGTGCAACATTCAGTTACATTAAACCCCATAACACTTTATGAGGATACATTAAAATACATGTACAACAAGACAAATGCTATAAAACCAGTTTAAAATAAAGTTTGAAGATACTATTTAACAGTGGGTTGAGCCAGCATTTCACCTGTTTGGAAAAAGATTTTAAGTCCGGTGATTACAAGAAATCAACCAGAGGAGATTTAAAGTTAAAGAAAATTGTGCAACATCATGTCTACAGGACAAAAGATAAAATGACTTGTTATCATCCATTACCATCAGAATAAATGTACCTGTGTGACTTTTTGAGGTGAGGGTCTCCAGCTCGATGTCTCCTCTGTCTCTCTGGGACAGAACCTGCTGCTGAAGGTGCTGAGAGAGGGCAGCTGTAGAGGTCACCCTCTCTATCCGGACCCTCAAGTTAGGAAACAAACATCTTGTTGAAATCACGGTACTGATATTAAAGTAAATTCCTTCACTAAAGCAGGAAACACGGCAGCAGACAGTAAATCAATCCAACACTGTGATTATCATTAAACTCACTGGTTTGGTAGCTGAGCTCATTTTGGCGTCACCATCAGTTACTTACTTTATTCTTAAGTTTTTAACAGCATCCCGGGACCGAAACACAGCTTCCCCGGTGTCCGTGTTCCAACAGTCTGCCATTAATATTTAGATGTTTGTTTTTAATGTGAGTTAGCAGAAGCGATCAGCTCTACAGTAAACACATCAGAAGCTTTTGTCCCTGTCGACTTTAAACGACAATATGTTTTTTATAAAATAATCCCTAGCAGTTTGCAGATGAGAATTACTGTCAGAAAAAAAAGCGCGAATGTTATAAGTAAAGATACCAAAGGAAGATAAATATTCAAGCACAAAGCACGGCTTAAAGATAGTTGTCGTTGCCATAGAAATATGGGTAGTTCTTCTTCTTTTGTTGATATCTTTGGCGGTTTGCTAACCATCTTTCATGAGCATTACCGCCCCCTACCGGCGCAGTCTAAAAGAGCCAAAGTCTCTTCACTGATATTACAGACTGTAAAGTATGATTCATATAAACCAATTATTATATATAAATTATATAAATCTGACTGTAATTCCTAGTTTGATATTTTGATATTTAGTTCATCATAGAACAATGTAAAAAAAAAATACATGAGTATATTATCTTCCTGCTAGTTGAGACTTAATGGATCGATAATAAAATGAAAAAAAAAATATATATATATATATATATATATAAACCTGCGGAAGGATCATTACCGGTTTGAGATCCCCGCACCCGAGGCCGCGTGGCCCCTCGGTGCTGGCGGCGGATATGTCAGAAAAACATTTGTCTCCCTTGTTTTTTTTTTTTTTTTTTTTTTTTATATATATAACAAAACAATATATTTTTTTTACATATATATATTTTTTCATTTTATTATCGATCCATTAAGTTTCAACTAGCAGGAAGATAATATACTCATGTAACTTTTTTTTTACATTGTTCTATGATGAACTAAATATCAAAATATCAAACTAGGAATTACAGTCAGATTTATTTTGTTGTTCCACATTCTGTTCAAAAAGCTTTTAGTTGTAAAGTTCTTGCTGGAATAATTCACCTGTTCATATCAGATCTATTTTTTTACTTTGTTTGTTTAACAATCATTTGTCTTCTTTCCCCTTGTTTATCAAAGCCCTCAACACTAAGCTGTAAAGTTTATGTGTGTGTGTGTTTGTGTATGAGTGTGTAGGTACAAGTGAGTGTGTAGTGTAGATGTGTAGCTGTACCTACAGTTGCTCACCACTGTTCTTAATGTTTACATATTTATGGTTTTAGTTATTTACTATATATGGAATTTAATAATTATTTAACTGGACATGTTTTACTGATGAATTAATGTACTTTGATGTTTCGTTACTGCATCAGAGCACCGTGAAGTCCAAAGAAAATGTCCTACTGGGACAATAAAGTTAATCTTATCTCATCTTGTATTATTATATCTTTCTCAGTGAAGGGGTGTTTAACACTAACACTGATTTTAACACTAACACTGTCACTGTCTATTTGTATTTGTATTTACTTATAATAATGTGTTCCGCTCATATTCTTTCATTTGATATTGCTGGCCTGTCCATCATTTGGTTGTAATGTTTTTCATCCACTACTTTTTTATTTTTATTTTTTATTATTATTTTTTTTATATTCAGGTCTAATGACAGATTTTTTTCCTCAACTGTTTATAGGTTCTTGTTTAAATTACACATATATATTTTTTATCTCTGTACGGGTTATGTACATTTCTTGTATATTTCTATTTTTAATTGCACAGTTTAAATCTGATTCATCTAGGGGGATTCTTTAAAAAAAAAAAAATTCAGGTTAATATATATGTATGGGAGGGGGGTGTTGGTTTTGTGGTTTATTTGTAACAAATGTTTCATGTCATGTACATCTTTGTAACCTGCTACTGGATGCTTTGACTTTCCCTCGGGATCAATAAAGTATCTCTCTATCTATCTATCTATCTATCTATCTATCTTTCTATCTATCTATCTATCTATCTATCTATCTATCTATCTATCTATCTATCTATCTATCTATCTATCTTTCTATCTATCTATCTATCTATCTTTCTATCTATCTATCTATCTATCTTTGTTTGATTTTAGTGGGTTTCTTTTTGTTGTCTTTTTCTGTGTTATTTAAACACTTTTTCTTTTTTTTAAATATTCCGTTCTTTTCTTTTTTAATTGTTGTCCATTTTCATGTAATGCTGTACATTTTCTTCTGTTGGGACCTGCTTAAAATCGAAATATTACATTTCCAAATAAATGAATGAATGAATAAATAAAGAAAGAAAGAAAGAAAGAAAGAAAGAAAGAAAGAAAGAAAGAAAGAAAGAAATGACTGAATGAATGAATGAATGAATGAATGAATGAATGAATTAATGAATAAATGAATGAATGAATGAATGAATGAATGAATGAATGAATGAATGAATAAATAAATGAATGAATGAATGAATGAATAAATGAATGAATGAATGAATGAATAAATGAATGAATGAATGAATGAATGAATAAATGAATAAATGAATAAATGAATAAATGAATAAATAAATAAATGATAAATAAATGAATGAATGAATGAATGAATAAATGAATGAATGAATGAATGAATAAATGAATGAATGAATGAATGAATGAATGAATGAATGAATAAATGAATAAATGAATAAATGATAAATAAACATGTGGTGGCGGTAACGATCAGTTATGTTTGAAGTGAGTCGTCAAATAAAAAAACGTAGAAGAAGAAGAAGGCGGAGGCGGAGGACCACGACATCCCGGAGCCAATCACACCGCTGGCGGGTCTCTGGTTGTTGTGCTGAGCTGTCACAGTGTTTCTGTTAAACATTATAACGTTTCTAAAGCCACATTATGGCGTCGTTTGTGACCGAAGTGCTCGCCAGCTCTGGAAAACTGGAGAAAGAAGATCTGTCCTGCAAAATCAGCAAAATGTCGCGGAAGGTGGAGGACGCGAAGGTAAACCAGCAGCTAGCATCACAAGAGCTAACGATGCTAAGCAAAGTTTGAACTAGCCTTTAGCCGTTAGCTGACTAGAAAGGGCATGAAACTTAACTCTCCCTTTACAAAGCCTAAGTCTTAAAATCTCCACCAAATAAAAGTGATATTGAAATACATAAAAGCCAACATCAGTGTGGTTTATCCATCATTTAACTACAGTTTGTTATGTTTAGAGAGACTTATATTAACATGTAGTTCAGATAATTGAGGTGACAACGTGGCTGTTGTTTATTCAGTACAATGCTTCATTTTATTCCAGTGATAACAGCTTTATCTTGCTTTTTGCTATTAGGATGGACTTCTTTACATCAGATTTACAGGTATGGGGGGGGGGGGGGGTTAGGGTATACATAAACCAGAAGACTAAGCAGTCAGGCCCTGAGCTTAAAATGAAATGCTGGACTTTGTAAAAAGTTATCCTTAACTTTTCTTTATGCATTTATTCACAGGAAGAAGTATGCGACATGATAAACAAGAGGTACAGTGACTTCCTACCAAGTCTGCAAGGATCTGAAGACCTAATGAAGCAGGTCGACGAGGTCTCCAAAGAAATGGAAATCCTTAAAAACTGCATTGAAACTGAGGTGTGTGTGTGTGTGTGTGTGTGTGTGGGGTAAAGCTGATCAGACTGTGTTCAGTTCTGTCTTTAAACATGTGTTTGTGTATTGGATCACAGGTGCAGCAGAACATCCACGTGGCTGTAGATGAATATGCAAAGCTGAAGCAGCAGCTGGAGAAGAATACCATCATAATAACAATGCTCGGACACCTGAAAGAGGTAAGACATGTTTGGTAAATGTCTAGCTCTCGAAATTGTACAGGAAGAAAAACAGAGGATCAATAATAACCCTATTTGAATGTTTCAGTGACTGATTGTATTTCTTAATTGAATATTTGGTTTTAGTATTTGTATATTTCTGATATTAGGCATCTTACAGGCTTGCTCCAACAATATTTGGTTGTACTTGTACAGTGACAATAAACATATCTTATCTTTATCCTCTGTGCGTCTCAGTTTCATAGTGCCAAAGAGGACTTCAACAAAGCTTTATTGGACAAGAAGTATGTTGATGCCGCCAACCACCTGGAGAGGGTGAGGGCTTCTGATGTCACCTTCACACTATGACACACCTGTAATGTAAATCGGGGCTGTGAAAATAATCTAAACTTTTTTACACACTCGCTATTTTTTTATATATTTACTAGAAGTTAAAGAAGTTTAGATTATTTCCACAAAGTGATGTGTCTTTACGCTTTCACTTAGCAGTGTCAACAATCTTTGATACAGTAAAAATAAGCACTTCATTCTTGTAGAAAGTGACCATGGGGCGGCAAGATGCTCCATGTGAATACCTGTTTATAGTAAATCTTTGTGGGTCTACTGTCTATTAACATTAAAAACGGATTTGAAAATGCGTCACAGGCAAGAGCTAGTGTGGATTCACTGAAGGGCTGGAAGACATCTCAGCTGCCCTTGCTCAGCGCTCTCAGCTCTGAGCTCACGGTGCAGAGAGAAAACTTGATTTACCACCTGGGAGATGAATGGAAGAGCCTCGTTGTCTGGAAATTGCCATCCTCAAAGGGTAAGACTGTCTCAGAAGGAAACCAGTATAAATGCTTTAAAAGTTTTTCATTTTGGTCCTTGTCACTCAAAACTCACAGATTATTATCAGATATCTATCCCTCCCTCTGTGAAAAATTACATCATTTAGAAACTGGTATTTTACTAGTTTGCATTTCCTTTATTTTTTTTCTTAAAAACCAAGAAAGTGAGTTTGATTCATTAGTTGTGACTGTTGGATTTTTACCACCAGAGCCAGCGGGCCTGAAGTCTTTCCTGAAGGTAGAGCTGAACCTGACCTATGGTAGCAGCAAGGATGGCGAACCAACACCCCCAGCTCTGTTGCGCTGTGTCCTGCAGGCTCTGGCCATCCAGGGAGACCTTCAGCACAAGATCAAACTCTTCAGTAAGAACAATTCTGAACACACAGCAATGTCCTGATTAAGTTTTCATACCTTAAAGAGACTTTGAGTTCTTGGAACCGCCTGCTTCATAGCAGTTTTTGTTGTTGTTCTTCAGGTCAGGTGCTGTTAAAGACCATGCTGAAACCACTGGTGGTGTACCCATCACTGTCAGTGAGGGTATCAGAGCAGCAGGGGGAGGGCACCATCCTGGCTTTACAGTGTCTGGAGGAGAGCAAAGAAGAGAGATCTGCGCCTTCACAGGTCTACAGCAAACTGCTCCTGGTGCTCAAGACGCTGCACTCACACCTGCTGGGTATATTTAACATTACGCTGTTTAAATGCCCAATTAAGACTCCATGGGTCTGAAGCTGACACCAAAGTCAGCAGGTTTACAATTTTAAAGATTATAATTTTTAAGATTTATAATAATTGAATGTGTGTTTGCATCTATTTCTCTCCTGCTGTAAGATAACATGAGATGGCTCAAAGCAGCTTACATGCTTTTTCTCTCCAGATGTGTCTATTGGTGATAAAAAACTCTCAGCCATCTTGGGAGAGCTGATTTGGGAGGACATTTCCAAGTGCATCATCCATGAGTGTCTGCTCTACTCCATCCCCACCAACAGCAGCCAGCTGGAGAAATACAACACTGTATGGAGATGACAGCACTTTGTATAGTATAAAAACATCTGTCTAGCTGTTCTAGCTGATTATGAAGTCTTTGTGGCATTACTTTCATTTATAAGATTATTTAGCGGCTAAATCTTTTGTTTTTTTGTATTAAAGGTGATCAAGGAAACGGAGGAGTTTGAGAAGTCTCTGAAGGAGATGGAGTTTCTGCAGGGTGATTCCACAGACCTGCTCAAATATGCCAGGGATGTCAACTGTCACTTTGCCAGTAAAAAGTGTAAGGATGTCATCGTGGCAGCCCGCAAACTCATGACCTCTAAGATGCACAACACAGTCAAGGTGGGTGAGCTGGGGATGAGTGTCGAGGTGGGACAGGTGGGATTAGTCAGCCGTAAACTAAACACTGTCAACCTCACTAGTCGGCGCCAGAATTACTAATCGGTTTAAGTAATTATGAATATTTCTATTAACATATGCCAGTAATGCTTCTAAAAGGTTGTGTAGAAGCTGTAGCACAGCCACCCGCCACAAACCAGCACAGTGGACAGATGACAGCTCGTAGGAGCAGCTAAATTTAGCCAGAGTCTGCCAACTAATTTGACATAGTTTACACGGTCAGACAGAAAAGATAACACAACAAATCAAGACAATGACTGCACAAGATATAAAGTGTTTTCTTACCTTTAGACAGTGGACTAGTCTGAATGTTATGTCTGTTTTTATTAATAGGGAAGTTCGTCATTACGACCATTTCTAGATTTGATTGATAGAAACTAAAATGGAAAACAAGAAACACATATTTCTTCATTTTTTTAATCTATATATATATGTATATATATATATTTTTTTTTTAGGGCTTATTTACTTTGTATTTATTCTTGTATTGTTTTATTTGCTTTGATAACCTGCTGCTGTAACAACACTTTCGCAGTTTGGGATCAATAAAGTAAATCTGTCTATCTATTTATCTATCAAACATGCATGTTATTTACTCCAGTGTTAAGTTAGCTGTCTTTGTAGTTAGATACTGTTAGCCCAAGGAGAAACAAGTTCCCAAACTTAAATTATTTTCTAATAAAACTGATGAATAAAATACTTGTTTCAAAGCAGAATGTTTTTTCCAGATTATTGAAGCATTACATTTTCACACTCTTGCATCTCGACGTTTTGAGAATCAGCCTGACAGGTTTTCTAAGGCAGCTATTCTTTTAAACTTTTTTAGTTTGCAATCATGAGATTCCATGACATCAGTCATTTATTTCTGCCTTAGATTTAAAACCTCAATAATCGAGAGTAACTTTTTCCTGTGTGACAACAAGTATAATGAAAAACGGCACTTTTTCTATCCTGTTAGATCACACCAGACTACAAAATGCGTCTTCCAAAGCTCCCTGCTCCTGCTTCAGAGGTGAAGGTGAAGCAAGAGACCAGGAAGGAGGAGACGACGATAGAGAACTCGAAGCAGCTGTCTCCGTGGAGTCTGAGTCTGCCGGCCTGTCGCATCAGTGAGTCAGTGCAGCAGCTGATGGAGCTGGCACTCAACACGCTGTGTGAAGCTGTTGGAAGCTCCACACAATGGTACGTTCCAACATCCTCTGTATTTTAAATACTGTGTGTTGAATCTCACCTTTTGAAGCGAAACCCATTCAAGCTTCCCTGGATACTGCTCTGTACATTCTGCCTCTCGACTGCTTTATATAAGACCATAAGGCCTCCCTGAAAATTAAAATCCATCTTTTAATTTCTACCCTTCAGTGCGTTACAACTCTTCTTTACCGTGAGAAACATCTTCCAGCTGTTCTATGATGTTGTACCAACATACCACAAGTAAGTGTGTCCATCACATCTGACATAAAGCAAATCAAACAAACACAAGTTCTATCAAGGTGTGATTGGTTGTCCCTCCCCAATCAGGGAGAACCTGCTCAAGTTCCCTCACCTGGCTGCCATCCAGCACAACAACTGCATGTACCTGGCCCACCACCTGCTCACCCTGGGTCACCATTTCAGGGCTCACCTGCCGCAGCCCCTCAGCGAGGGGGTAGCAACTTTTGTTGACATGGTGCCCGGATTCAGGAAACTAGGTAAACATTTCTTGAGTTGTTTGAAACATTGCCATTCAATTGAGTGCTGAACTTCATGGCAAACAAAAGCTAACTCCTAATTAATTGTTTGTTTTGTTGATGTACCAACATTTGACATAATTTCTTCTTCTGAATACAAATGACAGATATTAAATTTACAGTTTGCTGTTTTCCCTTTCTCCTTTTCCGTAAGGCGCCCAGTGCTTCTTAGCACAGATGAACGTCCAAAGAGCTGAGCTGTTAGAGAGACTTTCCACGGCTCACAACTTCAGCAACCTGGATGATGAAGACAACTACATCGCAGCCAGTAAAGCAGTCCGACAGGTGAGAGCAAAGACCATGAGATGTGCTGTTTTTATTCTTTTTTTACAATGAAAGTGTGCCATTACAAACAGGTCTGCTGTGTGGCAGTTTACAAAGCATTCAAACTCATCACTCGTTTATTTCCATGTACAGTTTCTCTTTCAAACTATGACCATCCGTTTACTTGATTTCAGGTCATCCATCAGCTGAAGCAGTTGGGCACAGTGTGGCAGGATGTCCTACCAGTTGGTATCTATTGTAAAGCTATGGGCAACCTCCTCAACACAGCCATCACAGAAGTCATTTCCAAAATCATGATGCTTGAGGTTTGTCTTTACTTATACTTCTACCAGTGCAGAGTTGTTGCTAAAAAATGCTTCTCCCCAGTTAAGAAAGAAAACAGAGGGGAAAGCTTAAAGCGGTGTGGTTGTTAAAATACTGATGAAGTTAAACTAAGTAATTATGGTAAAAAGTAATTATTGATCTGGTTGATAATGCTTTATTCTACAGTCATTGTTTACTTATTGATATTATTGACAATCAACAAGGATTTGATTTTCTCACTCATGTACCTGCAGGACATTTCCTCAGAGGACGGGGAGCATCTCCACACTCTGTGCCAAACCATCATCGAGGAGTGTCCGCTGGTCTTCATCCCTCTGGCCGAGGAAAAGAAAAACAAGAAGTACCAGGAGGAAGTTCCCCTCTATGTGAAGAAGTGGGGCACGTTCAAGGAGCTGGTCATCGTGCTGCGAGCCAACCTGCAGGAAATCGTGGACAGGTACGAAAGAAACTCAAACGATACAGTAATTGGTTCTTTTTTAACTGTTATTTTGATGCTTATGGTTACTATTTTAGGTTAAAGTCACAAGAGCGCTGTTCCCTCTGTTTCTCTTTTCACGTTTTTGATGTGATCTGTTCAACTGTTGATTCAGAACTTTCATTAAATCACTGGTTTTACTTCATTTTGTTATATTTGCACTTGTTTTAAGTTTGATTTAACAGTAGTTCAAGTTATACTGTAAAATCTAAAAGGTTGCAGTCAGTAAGGAAAATAATTCTTCAAAAACAGAAGGAGTCAAAGACAGCAACACCCTCACTTTTAGTCGTCATGCAGGGTTCAACTCCAAAAACAGACTTCGTAATAGGAAACATTATGCAACAGTTTTGGTGCTTAGTTTCCCTCATCACAATCCTCCATCACTTTTCCTCCCTGAAAAAGAGCTTCTGGCTGCCATTATATGAAGTTATATTATTGTCTGATTTGCCTCTGATTTGTCTCCACAGGTGGGCTGACAGTAAAGGCCCCCTGGCGTTGGAGTTTTCCAGTTCGGAGATGAAGAATCTGATCCGAGCCCTGTTTCAGAATACAGAGAGAAGAGCTGTGGCTCTGACCAAAATCAAATAGATACTCGGAGAAAAGTGACTGTCAGTATAATCCTAAAGCACTTTTTTTTTTCCAGTGAGGAAAAATCTTGAGTTATGCCTTTACTCGTTTCCGTTTTCAGTTCATTAAATGTCCACATTGACATGTATGTAAGCCTGTCACAGCGGATTGTTTGCCCTCTCTGATTGAGATGCTGTCGCTGAGGGTTTAAGCTGTAATCAATCTGTGAGATGCGTTCCTTCTATGCATTCAGCCTGCAATTAGTCGCTCAGAGATTACACCAAGGCTTCTTCGCATCAGCATCCTGCCGCCTCTGTCCTATAGCTTTAAAGGTCATCCAGTACAAAGCCAGCTGAGGTTGTGTAACCAGCGACTTGCCATCTGTTGACATGTGATGTTGTATCCAGGGTTAACTTTGCTGTTAATCAAACTTCATCTCTAGCTTTTTTTCAGCTCTTCTGTTCTGATGTCATTTCAGGAGTTTGTGTGTTTGGACTTAAATGCCTCTAAGTGTCTGTTTTTGTTTGTTTGATGCTTGTTGCCACGCTTGTAGAGAGTGGGGAAATACGTGAGGGAAAGGAGACACAGGTCGGACTTGAACTCAGGCTGCCCGCTTGGAGAACTAAAGCCTACTTTTATAACGGTTTACCATTTCTGTAATTTTCTCTCAAAGACACCCGTAATGTACATCTCTCACAACCTCTTAAAGATAATGTTTTTATTTTACTGGTTTCATGATTAAGTTGTGTTGACCACATAATGGCTGACTGGATTATTTGTCACAGAAAACTTTTCTTGGAGTGAATGAAACGCTACATTTATGAACCCTGCTCGGGTTTCAAGTTGGCCTGGTGGACGTCCAAGTGCAGAGTTAAGTCTGTGTTCAGGTTAAAGGTGACAAAACATTTTTCTATATTAAACATAACCACAAAAAATGTTTAACTCCTTAGTCAGTAGGAGTGGAAAGTTGACCCTAAGGTGGGAACATTTAAAATTAGTTAATGGGTGCTCATTGAATTTGTTCAGTATCAATTTTGTAACTTGAAGGTTTATCCAACAACATTTCTTCTTATAAAAAGTAATTCAGTTGGTATTATATTTCATTCTAAAAATGTATTTTCTTTTGTAAATCATTAATGAGGGCATTTCTACAACACGGCTTTCTTTTGTTAAGACTTCTTGTACAACCATTTAGCTGAACTCTCCCATAATGTATTTATTACTTCAAAATAAACCAAAAGACTAAAGCTATTTCTGCTCCCTCCATAATTGTACATAATTCTCAAAAGTCGACTATTGCTTGTTGAAGTTTGCCAAGTGACCAGAAACGAGTCAACAGTGTGGAGCTATTTTAACTCGACATATTGATCAGTTACCACAAATCCAGTTCTTCATTCAGCCTCACAAATACAAACAAAGAGCTTTAATTTCAGTTGTGATAACGTTTGTTATACCTTGTATGTGTAGTTTTATATTTAGGATATTTTCACAATAAAATTAATAATAACTTTATTTGTATAGCACTTTTAAAAACAAGGATCAACAAAGTGCTTTGACACAAACATAACAACAAAGCATCAGAACCCAAACAACATCAGCAACATAACATGTAATCATTTTTTTTAAACTATAATAAAACGGAAAGACACTGAAGCTCATAGGCTATTACATATTTTCTCCTATTTTGATTTTTTAAGTTGATGTAGATCCTGAGGTCGTTACTAATTCTAGTCTAACAGGTATCACGGCCACCGGAGTTCTCATAGAAGACTGCATCATCATCATCATCTCCACCGTCGTCATTTTGCACCTGTGAAAAGGAAAAACAACAAACTTTTAAAAATGATCATTTTGTTTATGAATGTCCTGCCACAATTTTTTTAAGCAACACAAGCTGTTTATTCAGTTTGTAAACTCACAGCATCGTCAGCGTCATCCATCTGAGTTTTTTCTTCCCTGTGAAGACAAAAGGGTTCACTCAAATGTCCGCAGTGTAAATCCAGGTTTAAACTATTCTTGTTTATAAAATAAATGAATGAATAAGGTTTCTTACCTTCGGTTCTCACCCATATATTGACGACCACAACAATTGTTATGAGTGCTGCTAAGCCCACACAGAAAATTATGAACTTTAAATAACCTGGAAATTATAACAGAAAAAAACACTGAAATCATACAAATCAAATGATGCAGCTAGAAGAGAATCAGCTCGTGCTTTAACATTATGCAGCAAAATACCAGTCAGATGTTAATATTTCAGGAGGAGGCAGAGTCGAGGATGTTCAAACAGACGTGTGCATGTAAGTCTGACATTCAAACTTTGAGCATCATAAGAGATTCAAGACCTAAATCATCTACCAGGTTTCATTGGAGCTTCGTCCTCCCTCCCTGGTGATGTGCTTGCTTCTCATTTTGTTGATTGTCACATAAATGGGAGAAAAACAAACAATGTTGAAATAATCACCTTTACCAGCTGAAGTGAATCTTATTAACAGAATAAAAGAAACGTGGTTTAATAAAATATACCTGTGTTCTTACGCGAGGATTGGCTGCCGACATTACTCAACAGTGTTTGTCCACTCTTACTGTCTGTCACGTGCAGATCAGCAACTCACAAATCTAGTGCCTGGTCATAGGAGGAGTTCTAAATGTCACAGTGGCTGAACATGTAGCCTGTGATGTCACCATGTCATTCATACTTCCTGTATACAACCACTGTACTGTGTGCCAACACCCGTTGTCATATGTGTCCACAGAGCAGGAGAAGCTGGACTCATCTTTGGACAATAATTCCCCAACTGGGAGAAACATTGTGAGAGAACGAGTCAAATTAACTTTCTTATTGTAGTCATAATTATTATGTTTTTTGAGCTGTTATCAGTACTTACTTTCCAGAACAGACAGATCCACATGAGCATCCTGACCGTGTTGTTCTCCTGATTTGAACTGCCTGCAGGCGTAACGACCAACATACAACATACTGACCTCCGTTATTACCAGAGAACAGTTTGCTACGACTCTCAGCCTGTTGGATAAATCGACGGCTTTTTCACTGATATTCCCACGTGTAACCAGCTCTAAAGCGCCCACAAATCCCTGGCTGATAAGCCAAGAAGTCCCGTCACAGTTCTGCTGACATTCTATCACATTTCCACAAGGCAAAGTGACTTCATCTCCCTCTCTGACGGTGAAGGACGGGATGTCTTCTCCAGTTACTGCTGCTGAAGATTAGAGGGAAAATAAGAATGTGTTCCCGTCATAGAATATTCTTTAAGAATCCACTCAACACGTGATTATCGGAGTATAAAGCAAATGTATTTGTCTTCAACAGATGAGGGTTTCTTTGTTTCTTCTGTTGTGTTTGTATTGGTGTGTGTGTCTTACCTGTAAGCAGAAGCACCAGCATCACAAATAAAGACATTTAAATCCTTCTGAATCGGACAGGTCCTTCTTCTCTTTCTCTGCCTCGAGTTGTGATGATCTTCAACGAGACAGTTCCAGACTTAAGAGTTCCTTTTAAAAACGGAGAGTGACAACTTCCTGTGGTTAGCGAGAGGAACTTCCCTGTCGTGGGAAGCGAGACTTTTTTCTCCCACGATTAGCAGAGTCAGCTTTAAGTCAGAGAAATGTGTCAAGAACAGTTCTCATGCTCAGAAACTGTTCCTACATTGTGAGCTTCTCCTCCATAAAGAATCTCCAAAGCATGCTGCAAATCAAAATTTGTGCTCCAGATGTTCCTTAAAAACATTTAATTCAGCTGCATACTGCCAAAAGTGTTTTTTTTTTTTTTTTTTTTTAACAATTTTTTAATTTCTTTTACTTTTCATATCAATTGCACAAATTGGGTAATACATCACAGTCAACTTCTCAGTAACGCAGGACAGGCAGTCTGTGCCTAACAGTGGTGTAGTGGTGCCTCAAGAAGTGAACATATACTCTTCATTTTTCCCTGAAATGTTTTTTTCAGTGTCCTGTCCAGCAGGATAAATGGCCTACTCTTGCATATTTAGTTTGTACTTGCCAATTACAGACACAGAAGGGAGGGAAAAGGAAACATTGCAGCATACTACTGAATATTGTCAATCAATAAATGGTGTGAATCAGAGGAGATTTAGAAGTGGGTATACCCTATGGAGACTGAAAAATAAGTTGGCATACTCTGCATATACCCTGCACCACTGCATCCTAATAATGAGCACGTAAAGTTCCCATGCACTGACGTGGATGCTATCATTTACTCACAAACACAGAGAAACACATAATTCAACATTATCGTCATCACAATGATAAATAAAATTAAAAAGGAAGGTAAAATAAAAATAACAGATACGTATGTATATGAATAAATCAATAAATCAGAGATACGCTCTGCCAATGAATGGCGTCTGATCCAACCTTCACAACAGAGTCCTAAGACGCTGACTAGACTCTTCTCCTCTGTCGCCCCCCGGTGGTGGAATGAACTTCCAAACTCCATTGGATCTGCAGAGTCCCTCTGCACCTTTAAGAAAAAGCTAAAGACCCAGCTCTTTCATGAATACCTACTAACTTAATGATGATGGTCTCCATATTATTGATGATGATGATGGTTTTTGTTTGATAACGATGACTTATAAGATGGTTTCTATACTGATTAGAGCTCTCAAGAACTGCCCTCAATGTTGTGCTTTGCCTCTGGTCACTTCCTGTCAGCACCTGTGTGTCCAATCAGACTCAAAGCTGATTGTTTGCTCTTACTCACATTGTTTCCTTTTTTTCTAGATCCCTGCTTGTGTTGTACTTACTCTCTGATGTACGTCGATGTACGTCTGCTAAGTGAATTGTAGAATTGTAGAATTGTAGATAAAAAAAGAATAACCTTCAGAAAAACAATCTATTTAATTGTTCCAGGCTCTTTGATCACTGGAGAAAATGTAGGAATTTACAGGGAAGAATATTTTGGAATGTTTTTAACAGCTACCCCTCTTCTCTTCCATAAAATATACTGCAAAGATTGACAACCCTTGGATGACTGTTGCTTGTTTGAGGCATCCCTTTGCTCAGCCATCTGGCCAAAATGAAGCTTCAACGTTATTTGAAAATCAACATAAATGTTTGTTATCACGTTCTAGACTCTAGAGCAATGGTTCTCAACTGGTGGGTCTTCAGTGTGCCTGGAACAAAAACCTGGTCTCAAACAGTCTGTCTAGTGCTTTTTTAAACGTGTTAGTTTTGGTAAGTTTCTTGCTTCCTTCAGCTGTTTCAGCCTCTGTCATCAGGGTGTGAATGTGTAGGTGTGACCTGCGGTGTAAAAGCGCTCTGAGTAGTCAGAATACTAGATAAGCGTTTATCATTTCACACCGTCTGAGGTACAGAATGTCAGATATTTTTAACATATATTTAACATTAGTGGACCTCAATTATCGCTGTTTTCTTCTCGTCTTCACCATGTGCTACATTCTCACCTGGGTGGTCTTTGAAGTAATCTACTTATTTGGTGCCTGGTTGCATGACATGTTCATGACCCACAATGGAAAGCATGCTTTGAAAATGTATACAGTTTTTTTTTCAGGGAGGAGTCGTGGTGGGTCCTGAGGCTAGACGAGTTGACAACCACGACTCTAGAGGATAAAGCATCTCCATTTTGGAGCTTGATAAGTCAAAACAAAGAATGAAACCTGAAGCATCTGTGTACTGTATTCAAACATGTTTGCTGAGACCTTGTTAGATCAAACAAGAAGACTTAACTTTTATGATAAAAGAACGGAAGCCAATAAGCGGACATGCATCCATACATTTTATTTTACTACGTTTTCCAGTAATAATGAAATAATTCACACTCTGCACATTGCACTTGGACACTTCACACACTTTAATATCCTTTACATCTTCTATATTTTGTATATTTATATATATTTTTTTATCTTATATTTCTACATTTCACTCAAATATGTTGTAAGAGTAATTTTTGAGTGATGTTATTGCATGGCTTTGCAGAATTCATTACTTTAAATTTCACTGCACATCTGTATGAGCATGTGACAAATAAAAGTGTTGAATCACGATAATTGATTGATTAATTGAACTTCTTTGTCAGACATGGTCTGAGATTTGTCTTGCACCACAGCGGCTCCATTTCCACATAAAAATTAAGACAAGATACAAAGATACAAACATTTGACACAACATCCAAACACAAAACCAACATTCAGAGGCCTTAAACTTGCTTTGATCTGGGATTTAGCTCCCCATTCAATTTTAGAATTGACTGGTGAACAAAAGAGTGTTTCAGTCTGACCTTATTCAAACGTGGGACCCTGCATCTCCAGTTTGATGGTAACAGTTCATATTCTGTGTTCAGAGCGTGGTCAGGATATTATTAAGATATAAATAGTTTTCTCAAGAAAACAATCGGGAATTATTTTCTACCAGAGTAATAAAATAATAAAATAAATGTATGGATGCTTATGGCTTCCGTAGAAAGTGTTATTTGGATAAAGTTTGTTTTGGTATTATACATGTTTTTGTCTTTGTCACATAATCTCCTGCTACAGTAACATTGGGGGCTTTGGACTGAGCATGGTCAGTATTAGCTGATTGATTCAGAGGGAGGAGACAAACAGCGGGACAGTCAAACAGCAGCTTCTTATTCACTCCATTCTCCTCCTTCATGTGATCTGATGGCTTCAACATGGGAGTTACATTTCGGCAGCAGCTGTACACATGTAGAGGTACGTAGTTATTTTATCTTCTTTTAAATTTATTTTGCAAGTATTATACTCGGTGAGACATTTCAGACTGAATTATGGTTATTTGACTTTTTTTTATGTACTTGGAAAATAAATAAATGATCAGATTATCTTTAAGGATACAGAATAAAAATCACTTAAATCATTATTTTCAAAAGTTAATGTTTCATCAAACTAATATTAATGTTATAATACTACAATGGTGCTATAATAATAGTGACATTCAGAGTTTATCCCTCAATAAGGTGGTCAGTCATTAGGTGTTAAACTTGACCCGAGTCCAAAGTTATATCTGCGTTAAGACTTTGTTTTGTCAAGCTGCCCAAACTCAAGATTTGTGCGATGTTGAAAGCAGCGATACACGTATAACACTGGAGAGGCAGGAACCAAGGAAAGCCTGTCGTATGTGATGATAAAATAGACAAATACATCAGTTAAACGATGCATTGTACCTGCTTTCTAACAGTAAATCTCCAGGGAAAATTACGGTTACAGGAAACAGAGGAACAGTGTTTACCTTTTGTTATTACCCTGTGTGTTGTGGATTCAGGAATGTGTTCATATTTTGGACAAGAAATCTATTTTTTTTAAATACATATGTGACACCACAGGTTTGGAGAATTTCAATACTTCACATTCAGTAGGCGTAGATTACATTATTTAATTTTCACTTTGATGATAACAACATAACCTCGCACTTTTTCTGCATGTGAGAGAAAATCAAATCCAGAGATTCCTTCCGAACAAGTCCATGCCTGAGCCTTTGCTGTGATGGTCTATGATGATGTGCCAAAAACAAATCTTGCAATCTTCCTATTCAGCATAACATGAGGTCTGAAGTGGGTTGCTCAGTGTCTCAGTCACTGCTGGGATTTCTTATACATGTAGGGATTACTACTAATCCTCAAAATTAATCTGAGAAACAGTAAAGAACATTGTGGATTGGAGAAGATTACAGACTGTATTTGCTAGAAGAAGGCTTAGAGTGAGTATTGTCCAGATGTGGACAAATGAACTGTGGAAAATGTATGTCTATTGGGAGCATGTTATAAAAGTGGTGTGCATACTGTACCTCAACAATCATGCTCTTATCGTGCATATATGTCGCTGAAAACTGACAGAGTTGATATAATTCAGCTAAACTTGTTGCCTTGACAGAAGCAAACCTTGAAGGGTAAACGAAATCTTGAGGAGTACGGCAATGATCTCCACTGTGATGTGCACCAGAGAGATGCTTCAAAACGTTCAGTGCAACAATCACATCAGGAGCCCCATCAGGATCGAGCCTCGCAGGAACTCCATCCCCCAAACACAGGCTGTCACCGCTAAACATCTAGTGGCTAACCTGCCGAGACCACAGACAGAAGCACTCCGCTTCACTCCTTACACTTACAAGGTACGGCTTTGGAAACATTTTATGCCTTCCTCCTACCTTCAAACTCAAGAATGAGAAAGCCCTTGGATGTTTGCAGAATTTTGTACGTGCTAATTTGGAAAGACAGCTTCAGCTCCATAGTAACTTTGTGTCTTTTAATGTTATGCATTGCTTTCCTTTCTTTCAGGCTGCAGCCAAATCCACCATTACTTCCATTATGTCGTCAAAAAGAGCCTCGCTCAGCTACAACTTAAACAATGCTAACGGCTCGTCGCTCCCACCATCCCAGAGCACCAGCAGCCAGTCCTCTCAGACTCTGACTCTGTCCAAACAAGAACTCCACCAACAGCACTCTATCCTGGCAACTCCTCTCGAGCCAGTGGAGGAAACCTCAAAGCGTCAGCGTTCGCATCGCACCACGGGCCTCAAGCGCTTCAGCTCCAGGTGGCAATCGAGAAGCTCCACCGGCAGCTGCAGCAACATTCCTACTTTTGCGATAGAGAAGCTGAATGGTGCAAGGAGTCACAAGAAGCGTTGCAAGCTGCTGGGTGACGACCCTTCATTGCATGTCACTGCAGGCAATCAGCGGCAACGTTACGTCACCAAGGATGGAAAGTGCCAGGTCAACCTGGGACCTATTGCGGATAAGAGTCGCTTTCTGTCAGATATTTTCACAACATTGGTGGACCTCAAGTATCGCTGGTTTCTTCTCGTCTTCACCATGTGCTACATTCTCACCTGGGTGGTCTTTGGAGTAATCTACTTATTCGGTGCCTGGCTGCGTGACGACATTGCACATGTTCATGACCCACAATGGAAAGCATGCTTTGAAAATGTAGACAGTTTTCTTTCCGCCCTGCTGCTGTCAATTGAAAGCCAGAGGACTATTGGGTATGGCTCCAGAATGGTGACGGCGAACTGCACTGAAGGCACGGTGCTCCTCATGATCCAGTCCATCCTCGGCTCCATGATCGACGCCCTGATGGTGGGCTGCATGTTTGTAAAGATTTCCCGGCCACAGCAGAGGGCCCAGACTCTGATCTTCAGCAAGCACTGCGTCATATGCGAGCGCGACGAGAAGCTGTGCATGCTCTTCCGCATCGGTGATCTGAGAGCGAGCCACATGGTGGACGCCAAGATCCGGGCAAAGCTGATCAAGTCCAGGCAGACCAAGGAGGGCGAGTTCATCCCCCTGGAGCAGTCAGAAATTAACCTGGGTTACGACACTGGTGGAGATAGGCTGCTGCTGGTGGAACCCCAGACCATTACTCATGTTATCAACGAGAGCAGCCCCTTCTGGGAGGTCGGGTCTGAGCGTTTGAAGAGGGCAACTTTTGAGATCATTGTCATCCTGGAGGGCATCGTGGAGGCATCTGGTTTGTAGAAGTATTTTCAAGTCCTATGATTTCCTTTTACCATAGTCATGTTAATAATAGAATAAATGGCTTTAATGGAAATGTTCTTTCCTAAAAGATACGTTGTCTGCAAAAAAAAAAACAAACATGTGCACTGAGACAAACATTTTCTTATAGGTTGAAATTGTTGGCAAAATGTGGATTGAAGGCTAGAAATGTTCATGTCTTTTCAATTTTTTCAAAGAAGTCTTTCTTCCTGATTTGGATGTTCACATATGCACCTCACAGCGGGGGACTTTCTATGTCGAATGAGATTGTCATCTATTCTGCTTGCAGTGAAATTTGCTGAATATTTCATATTTCATATTTTAACACATCAGCTCACTTGACTTTACATGCCAATTTTACTCCCTGGAAAATTCTGTTAAAAGTCAGTCAAAGTCAGGATGAAAAAATGGTTTGTGTTCACATTTGAAGCTCACGTCCAAACTTTTAGGGAAACCTTTACATGTGAAAACACCACATGTTTCACTTCCCCTGACCTGACGTGAATGCTTTGTGTTGCAGGTATGACATGCCAGGCGAGAACGTCCTACACAGAAGATGAGGTCCTCTGGGGCCACAGATTTGAGTCGTGCATTTCCTTGGAGAAAGGAGCATATCGAGTGGACTGTAGTGCTTTTGACAAAACCTTCGAAGTCCAAATGTCCCTGCTCAGCGCAAAAGACAGAAGCACGGCAGAGGAACGTGAAATTCAGTTTTAGAAGATGCTGGCAATAATTTATTTTCTGTACACTAACATAAAACTAATCACCTAGAAATGACGAATGATATTTTATGAGATCCCCGGATAAGCTATAACATTTGTGCTTAATGAACATTAATCTCAGGTCAACCATCATTTCTACTCTTTTGTTGTATGTGTTATTAAGATTGCTTTATTATAATATGCCATCTATTCTATATGTAATATTGTGAAATGTTGTTTGTTGTGTTTGAAAATTTAAAAAAAACATTCATGATAAACTGCATTGTATTTGGTTATTTCTTGGAAATAAAAGTTTGGGGTCAAGTTATAATAACTGCAAAGGTTCCCTTTTTTTCTCCATGGGGCCAAACTCTGTGTCTTTGTGAACTTGAAAGGTTGTTACATCCTGTGGTTGTCATCTTATCATAAAAACACACCTAAAAGGTCCAACATTATACATATATATTCATATATATACATATATAATGTGCATTATACAGCAGAATGGCCAGTCTAAAATAGTTGAGCAAAAACATGAAATTGCATTTTTGTGGCAGTAATGCAAATTTTAGCTTCCCTACGTTAAACATTTCAAAGAATATCAATAATATTCTAACACAAGATAAACTTCAATGTCTCTATAAAGTAAACCAACACTGTCAGGTTGAGATATTGAAGCATAAAATGTACAATTTCAAGCGAAAAATACAAAAATCAAATCACTTATACTTATAGAGCATGTTTAAAAACAACCAGACTCCTTAGACTTAAGAAGTCTGAAATGCATCTTGTGTCTTCAGTCTGGTCTTAAAAATGCCTAAAGAAGGGTAACACCAAATACCAAGAGGTAGAGGCAGAGTATTCCTCGACCAAGGAGCAGCTGATCTGATTACCTGAGAGGTTTTGGTAGGGAGATGGTGTGAAGGAGTTCAGAGATGTACAGGTGGGCAGGCCACAAATTAAAGTACCTTAAACTCAATCCTGTACTTGAGCACGAGTCAGTGCAAAGATGCAAGAACAGGAGAGATGCTTTCTCTCTTTTCCTGGTCCCAGTGAACAATCTAACTGCAGCGCTTTGTACCACCTGCAAGCGGGACAGGGACAACTGACTGGTGCCAAGGTAGAGAATATTACAATAGGATAGGATAGGAGAATACTTTATTGATCCCAGAGGGGAAATTCGGGCGTTACAGCAGCACAGACAAGTAAGCTCAAAATACAAAATACACATTAAACAGAATAGATTAGATAAATAAAAATAAAAACAGGGGGTTATAAAAGTACAAAATGAATGATGAAGTTAACTATGCAGGGAATTTTAGACAGTATTTGCAGAGAATGACAAGATAAAGCGACAAGTGATGATTAAAGTGACTCAGTATGATAAATAGCAGCAAGTAATGTAAAAACAGCAGAAAAGAGAGGCAGTGTTGTACCACAGTACACACAGACTACAACAGTCCAGACTGGAAACAATCAAGGCACTGGAAACAGTTTTTAAAATCATTTGGAGAGAGTTTTAAACAGCTGCAGTTGTTTTATCTTCTCCTCCGGTCCGCTAGGTGGCGCTGATGAAACAAAGGGTTGGATGTTGCGAAATCCAAAGAAGAAGAAATTCCAGCAGAGCAGCATGATGGGATATGAGAGTCCTCCGGCGGCGCGCTGCCGCCATGTCACCCAGAGAGAAACATTTAGCGCTACTCTCTGCTTTGGGCGTTCTTAGTTTTGCTCTTTATTACAGTCCAACTTTTCTGTACGTGACTTTACTTGTTGCAGCGTGTTGTATTGTGTGTTACTATTGCAGCAGAGAACCGCTTCCCGCCAGGTTAGGCCTGAATCCGCGGGCTGGGCAGACCGTCGTAGCCGTGGTTCGGCGCTGGTTGTGGGGCTGGGGGGTTACCGGCGTGTCGGCGGCCGCTCGGGGGAGAACAAGGAGAAACAAACCGGAGGAGTCGGAGGGCCGCTTCGGAGAGAGGCTCGTCGACGCGGGATTTACCGGAGGGAGCACCTGACGAGCGACTCGTTTGTTTTCAGCCCTCGGGATTTCCTCATGGGGAGCTACATCGGGAAACCGGAGAGCCCGACCGCGGAGACCGGGAGGCCGAGAGCGGCGGCGAGGAACCCCCGAGAACAGCTGCGGGAGAGGCTGGCGAGACCGAACCACGCTGTGCTCACTCCCAACCGGAGGCTGTCATTCACCGGGTAACGTTTACACTCTAACCACGCTGCTCCGACGTAAATAACCGTTATGACGTACAGGGAAAGTTCAACCTGTTGGCGGGGTTTTAATGATTAACTCACGGAGACCTTTGTTACTCATGGTGCACTACGAGATATTTAAATTATATATTATATTCATTACTTTTGACGGTTTTCGGTACTTAAACTATGAGGGACAAAAAATGACTAAAGTGTAAATAAATTAATAATTAAATAAATGTTGGGAGAAATGCATAAAATAATGTATAAATAATTAAATAAATGCTGAAAACAATACATCAATGAATGAATAAATAATAATAATAAATAATAATGATACACTTTGTTAATGAAAAAGGCTATTTATATATTTTTTACATGTATTTATTCATTTATTAGCGTATTTCTAGTTATATATTTATCAATGCATACTTTTCCACATTAATTGACTTATTATTTTATTATTTATTTATTTATTCTTTATTCATTTTTTGTCCCTCATAATAAACATCTTAAATTTCAGGAGGAAATTATAAACTAAAAATTATTTGCTGGAGTTCATAGTTTAAAATCTTTGTGGAGATTTCAAAAAATGTGTTGTAAATTTAAAAGTGTCGACACCACGTGTTTTAAAACAAGATTCTCACTTAATTTAATGATCAATAGTATCGAAACTTACCTAAAACTATATATCTTTAGTCATTCTTATGCCAGTTTTTTTGTGCAAATCAGTGTGTAGGAGTTTGCTTGCAATCTTTATAGTTCAAAACAAGAAATAAACCAAAATTTGGGTGCCTAGACTTGTATCTGTGTTGCTGTGGAATAGAAACTGGTATAATGATTTGTCTAATTTTTACCGAGATTGTATCAAAATATTAAAAGATCTAGTATCATGACATCCCCGGTTTATAGTTTATATGGACATAAGAATTAAAAACTATTACAGTGACAGAAATATAAGGCAATAGACTGATTTAATGTGGTGTTTATATATTCCCAGGATTTATCAAGACTGTCACATCAGACAAAAACATTTCAGATGAAAGGAATAAATATGAATAATCAATCAGTAGACCTTCATGAAGTAGACAAGGCCATAAAATATCAGACTTCGCAGAAAAATATTACATATCAACGTGTCCTTTATGAATGTGCTTTGTCAGGTAGCTAGTTTGCATGGGGCCATACCCTTTAAGTCTTCTAGTGATCCCCTGAAGCTGATGTTTCGTAGAAAACTGCATGAAATGCTTTGATGAGGTCATCCTGCTCCCCCTGATCCAACTTCATGAAAAACACCCATGAATATATCTTTCAGCAGCAGATTCTTGCTTCAGTGGATCTTTTAGTAACCTTGAATGTGTCTACTTTCCTCATGGGTACATTAAAATGTTTACCTATCCTTGACAGAGTTTGAGTAAGCCTGTGCACTCATGTAAATATTGATTTTACGTTTTCAGTTGATGTACATCTCGGTCTCGGTTGGATCTTCAAAATAATATTTTTGACGATGCTACCAGCTGCTGTATTAAAAATAAATACAGTTTGGCATTTCCTAGAAGGTTAATGTATAAAAGACTAAGACTGAATTTGTAGAGTCACAAATGAGTTTACTGATATACATTACGGCTGTGTTTTTATTATTGTTGCAGGTTACACTTATTAAAGATTTTATTATGTTTTTCTGTCCAAACAGTGAGCCACTGAGCCCATCGAGCAGGTTCACCATCACTCCCCAGCGTCACTACCCCCTGCAACAGCCGGGAGTTTCATCACTGGGAGTCTTACCTCCTGTCAGGTGGGATGGCTTCAGACAGAAAAACATCCTCAGCCCACGTAACTCCCCTGCTGCACTCAGCCCGGTTACCGTGAAGATCGCCAGGCCTGACCACCACATCACACCCAGGTCTGGAAAACTGCCATCTATAGATGATTATTCTTTTTGTCGAGGGACTGGACTCCATAATACTGATGATTGGTTTTGAGTCCAGTGCTTAGTAAAGCAATTCATTTGTGGTAAAGCTGACGCAAGCTGTGCTTTTTATGTTTTAGTTTGGACCATCATAGTTGTGCCGGACACCCCAGAACCCTGGCGGACCCGTGCTCCAGAGAGAGTGTCCTCAAGGTGTTGAAGGAAAGTCGCAAGAGAGACGTGGAGGATGAGGACAGAAGCTTTACAATTGAGCAGAGAAGCAAAAGAAGGTACGGCTAACAAAGGGGGCTCTAGATGGACCATTGCATTGCTAGGAAGCTTTTTAACAGCATAAGTATTTCTCTATACATTTCCGAAAAGCAAAAGTTAGAAGTGAATGCAATTAAACATAAAGAATGCAACAACCCAATGTGAAACATGCAGAGCGAGAGACAGAAGCCACTTACAGGTTGTGATTCCACAACAATGCAGTAATGAGTAATGACAGGTTGCCTGTGCTGCGGCCTGAAATTGGTGCTCCAGTGTGGTTTCACATTGCATCATAGTGTTATGGAAGCTTAAGAGGCACGGGGAGTAAACACACAGAGGGCGCTTCTCATGAGGTTATGAGGTTGAGCTGATAGTATGTAACGTCCATATGTGTGCATGTTAAAAAGACATTTGTTTTCTAGAAACGTAACCTATTAAGTGTCTGGAAATAACTTGAAATCATTTTTTAAGCCTTCCTTTTTACAACACAAATGGATACTTCCTTATCTAAGAGATTACGAGTCACTGAATTCTAGGTTTATAGATGAAGTTTGTTGAAACTTTGCTCATGTTGGTAATTCCCTTTCATTTTCAAGGCGAAACGACAGCGGTGGAAGTGCACACTCTGCTTTTGGGTC